TGAATTGGCCAATCCAGATATGGATAACGATACATTGATGACGATCCTGTCTGAGCAAGTTGCGCTCGAAAACGTCAAAAAGGCCATTTCAAAAAAACTGGGAAGAATCATCATTCGCTAACCCTTCCCTTTCTTTATCATTACTTCAACAATCGCTGGTACATCTGGATCGTATTCTCCAATCCAAAGTAAAGTGCGTCTGAAATTAAGGCATGACCAATGGAAACCTCCATCAAACCTTCAATGTGCTCATCGAAGTAACGCAAGTTATCCAAACTCAAATCGTGACCTGCATTGATTCCCAATCCCAATTCAGAAGCTAATTTTGCTGCAGTCACATAATCTTTAATCGCTGCTTCTTTATCTGCTGTGTAATTATCGGCAAAAGGTCCGGTATACAACTCAATTCGATCCACTCCGCTCTTTGCAGCGTACTCGATGTTTTCCAACTTCGTATCTACGAAAATCGACGTGCGAATACCTTTTTCGCGGAACGTTGTTGCCAAATCGGTGAGTAAATCAATATTCTTTTTCGTTTCCCATCCAGCATTGGAAGTTAACACTCCCGGAGGATCTGGAACCAACGTCGCTTGTGCTGGCATCACTTCCATAGTTAACTCCATAAAACGATCATTCGGGTATCCCTCAATGTTAAACTCTGTGGTCACCACTTTTGACAAATCCAGGACATCTTGTCGTGTAATGTGTCGCTCATCAGGACGCGGATGTACCGTAATCCCATCGGCTCCAAAACGTTCACAATCCTGCGCCACCTTTACCACATTTGGCACATCTCCTCCCCTTGCATTTCGAAGAGTTGCAATTTTATTCACATTAACGCTTAGCTTCGTTTTCATTCGGTACAATTTTTGTGTTTACAAACTTAAAAACTATCTAAGGATTATGCTACCTTAGCGATTGGAATGAGAGCAATTGATCTAATAACAGATGAGATTCCGCCGTTGACCCACTCGGACACGGCTGAAAAGGCGTTGAACTGGATGGAAGAGTTCAAGGTGTCTCACCTACCTGTCTTAAAATCCGGAAATTTTGTTGGCGTTGTTTCTGAAGCTGATATTCTGGACCAAACTGAACCTGAAAAAACGCTTGACGAGTTGTTTCAGCATCTTCCACGTCCTTTTGCGTTATCTGGAGATCATATCTATCAGGTGCTTGCTCGCATTGCTGAGTATCGCTTGAGCCTGATTCCAATTCTGGATGAAACAGAATCTTATCTGGGCTGTACGAGCGTTCACCATTTATTAACGTTGATTGCGAATACAGGAAGCATCAAGGAAAATGGTGGAATTCTGGTTCTTGAAATGGCTCAGACAGACTATTCGATGGCAGAAATTGCTCAAATCGTGGAAAGTAACGATGCCAAAATCCTGAGTTCATACATCATGTCATCGCCGGACTCGACCAACATTGAGATTACGCTTAAGATCAATCAGCTCG